CTTTGGCACACCGGGATTCGTGAGATAGGGGACACGGAGGATGTCGCCTCAGCTCAACAAACTACGAGGCACCACAGCATTGCTGCGAGGTCTTGCTGCCCGAGCAAGCTATCTCTCCAACCACATGCACGAGTTGCGTGCGAGTTGCTCCATTGCTGTTGCTCAAACTCAGAACTGAATCGTCTCGCCTGGAAGCTGCAACAGGGCAGACATGCAGCAACATCGCATGACGAAGAACATGCAGCCTTGTCCAGGTGCCGCATGGAAGGGACCGGCACGCGAATCTTGCGGGTAAGCAAATTCACCGAGGCTGCCTGGTGCCGATGACCCTAGACCGCGAAGAAACTGTCCAGACCCATGCAGTCAGCTGCCCACGGAAACCACTTCGAGAGCCTCCCCTGCCTTGTCTATAGACTCGCAAAAACGAAAGCCTTGAGTGAGACTTCTCGCCCGAGCATATACGCCGCTGCTGCAACATGAACTTAAACACAAAGGAGGTCCACACTATTGCACCTAAAGGCCCTGCATGCATCAATGCAGCCGACCTGCCTAAATACCTGCCTACCACCTGTCTCCCTACCTTCACCGACTTGCCAGGGTACCTAGATACCTTGCCACCTAGCTACCTGCCTACCTTGCTGCGTATGTTCCTACCTACATCTCTGCTTGGTTGCTTCGTATCCTGGCCACCTTGGCTGACGCCTACCTGGTACCTACTCACTACACTACATACCAACCCGCCCATCGATCTCCCATCGATCTGCCTGCCTACCTCCTCGCCACCACCAGTGCCATAGATGCGTATATACATGCATGCATACGCAAGCACAGTGTCCTCCATACATATGTAGATGCACGCAAATGCGCAGCACATACATGCAACGTACATTTCTCCAAGATCCGACTTTATTGAAACTGATGTTATCTGAAACTATGCAACATGAGAACAACCAAGTGCAAGATCTACTACTACTTGTGTGTGCCCGATGGATCCCATAGGGATATAGTAGCAATCTGTGAACATAAAGGGACATACACACGTGCACACTTGTGTATATGCGTATGACCAGCTACTTAAACAGTCGATTTGTAATGAAGCTAACTGATGTGTTTATCATGCTTAAGCAGTCAACTACTCAGGAATTAATACCAGACTCATGAAAAGAAATAAATGTTACAAGCCAAGTACTCAGTTCATTAGTCACTCAATTAGCTAGCAAACTACGTAGTTTGCTAGCTAAGTCATGAATTCGTTCACTGACAAATTAAATAGTGAACCAGCCAGCTAAGTGATTAATTCAAGAATGACTTTATTAATCGACTAATTCATAAACTAGTGTTTAGCTAATTAGCTAATCAACTATTTAGCTGCTTAGTTAACTATCCATTGACTAACTGAGTGGTTAAATAATCACTGATTTGTTAGTCGATTAGGAAACTGATTAAAAATCAACCGGCTAGCTATTGAACTAACGAACCCATTTATACGTACATAGATATTATACATATATATATATATATATATTTATTGATTTGCTTATGTACCTGTTTATGTATATATGTATAGATTCAATTATCAGTTTTTCACTTTTGCCTATGTACAAATACATATACAATCGTAGTTCTGTCCCTCTTTTTTCTGTTGACCTTTTTGACCTGTCTCAGACCCTCGCTCACGACACACGCTACAACACGGTCTTAAGCCCCATTGACAACACACGTGGTGCTGAAGGGACTTGCTGAACGTTCGTCTTGCGAACGAACACCACTCGCATGCAACGTACCTCAAAAAAGGTTTGTATTGCATCCTTCGTAAGGGACTGCGAAAATGCAACACAATAGTTTCGAAAGTGATGGTAATTTACTACTGCTTTCCGACAACTTCTAACGCCATGGACATATTTGTTCAGCATACCGTTCTGAAACGACATCTTCGGGTGGTATCCTTGTTGCGACTCCGAAGGAGCCCGAAAAAGCGCCCGAAAGTCTTCACTCAAAGTCGTTTACAAACATGCCATCCCGCAGTTGCAAGGTGTGAACGGCCAGCAAGCAACATTCTGTAGGGTCGCATTTACACCCACAAATTGCTGCCGATCATAGGCTGATCGTGCAAGAAAGCTCTTTTATTGAGAACCCATTTCAATCCCGCTGACATGGCTGCACAGGACAAATGACCACGTCCCGACTAACTCGCGAGAAAGAGAACAAGCAGCACAACAGTGTGCACGTTCACCGGATGGCCAGGTCAGAGGTTTTGCACGAAACTCAACATGTTGATTACCTTGCCAGTAAGATGGAGGTGTATAAGATTACATGGGCTACGAAGAGTTGCTCAAACTGAATGGAATGCCTCCGCAGCACAACATGCTCAGCAATACCCTCCTTCATGGTTGTCTCTTTGACTACATGACATACGGCTCGATCACAAGGCAGTAAGACTGCCCCTGCGGCACAATCCATCCTTTGTCGGAATAAGCAAAACAAGTGAAGGTTGCACACATTCAACGAGTCATGCACTTCTAGAACTTGTAGGAGTTCCGTGAAATGTTTGTTTTGTAAAAAGAAAATATGCAATACGCTGCTCCATCTGGATGTGACCGCTGCATTGTTTGTACAAATATTCTTCTGCTGAATGCACAGCCAGCCTGTGCGCGGTAGGATGCATGCAACGCCAGCAGGATCGCCAGGGCCATGAAAGCTGGGCAGCGACACACAGTATTCTTTCACAAAGAATGTCGGCACGTGAACTCCACAGGCAGAACAGAGCAGTCAATGCCCCTACATGCAGCCAGGCCACCAAACGAGGCTGCATTGCTGGTGATCCAGAGCCTTGAGAGTCGCGGGAACGCAACGCGGGCCAGCACAAGTGAAGACTTCTAGCCGGGATGACGCCATAATCCAACCAGGAGGGGAAGGTCCGTGCAGACCCAGTCTTCCAGCACCTCGGAACTTGCGGCTTGAGCAGCAGCTGCGCATCGATTCTGCATTGAGACATCAGCAATACAGCGCGATGCACAGCGCCATGTCCAGAGCGGCCAGGCCCTGGCCCGGTCCATCCCAAACTCCGTGGAAACTAGCGGCCCTAGCGTCATGAACCTGATACATCCAACTGTGTAAACACTATGCAAACGTGCAGTGGCCACAGCATACTGGTTGTTCTTCACCATCGTCAAAGCTGACAGGGTTCGCAAGTCGTTTCGGAACCTCAGTCTTAACAGTCTTAACATCCAACAACACACCACTCGGGACGAACTCTTCTCCGTAGAGAACTTAGCCTGCAGCACACCCTATCCAGAACTGCATGCATCCAAGTCTCTGATTAGCTTGCTCCACAGCATATTCACGCCCTGTGCTGAACCTGCATGCCATGTTTAGCGACCGCACAGTGTGCTGCAATGTCTCGGCATTGAAAACAGGGTTCACACGCCCTGACACAGCCCCGTTAAGCTCTCAAGGAAGTCAACGTTGAGAATCCGCACGGCTCGGTGTTTTCTCCGAACGACATCGGTCTAAAGATCAGCACATGCCGGCGGAAAGGTCACCAAGCACCTTCCGCCTCCTTGCTTCATCACCGACGATGTCATATAAGTTGCAAGTACTATGTAGTTACACGAAACACCAAATGGCCCAATGCCGAGAAGATGTGAGCTGAAAGCGGCCTCTCAAAGCGGAACTCTGCATCGTACAAGTAGTTGGCACCTGCAAATCTAGAGCAAACACGAAACTTCCAATCGCGACCACATGTGCAAACTATCTGTGGTATCGATGTCGAGTGAACCGATTAACCATCTATCTCCATGCATGCACCGCAACCGCTCAGCCATAACCATGCATGTCATACTTACATGGTAGGAAGCGTCTGATGTCACTCGACAGGTAAGTCTCCGGCGATTGTAATCGAAAAGTCCGAAACCAACAGCAGCCGCAGAGGCAGCTGCAACACCAGCTTCTGCGGCCATGATGAGTTGCTCCTGGTTTGAACAGGAAACATGGACCACCTCTGCAAGCCTCTCTCATCGAAGCTGTCAGCGCACAGCTGAACATACGACACTGCATACACAATCTGCGTCATGCACAAAATCCAGCGCATCAAGCACGAATGTGCTACAGCTGAGATCGCGGCAGTCTTGACCTCTCAGCGTTTCGATGGCAGCCACCCACATTCACGAACAGAAGTGGCTGCAGTGAAAACAAAAACATTTTCCTGTTGTTCTCGACCGTTCAAACCACATGCTGAGTGAAACGACGGGTTCACCATCATCGGCCGGTGATGCATCCGGTGGCCTCTCAGGAACCACCTCATTTCCGGGCACCACTTTCCTCTCTGATGCCGCTTCTCCTTTATCATCATTGGGACCAACTTGCTCACCGCTCCCATTGGCTCGACTTCTTCTTCTTCCAAGTTCACAACAACTGGCAACCCACACAGCAAAGCAACCCAAGGACCAAGGAGCGCGCAAGCACGACAAACATCAAGCTAACAACGCTCAACTCGAGAACCTACGGCACACATGCACATTCAGGACAAACCCTTAAGCAGCAACAGTGCTTACCCCAGTTTGTTCGGCATCTAGAAATGCTGAGTGCATTTAGGACCAAACCCTTAAGCAGCAACAGTGTCTACCCCGGTTTTGTTCGGCATCTGCAATGCTGAGCGGAGTGCATTTCTGACAAAACCCTTAAGCGGCAAAAGTGTTTACACCAATCCTGCTTGACATCTAGAAATGCTTGGGAGCTCAATGACCTTACGCCAGCAGCACCCTCAAGCAGCGACAGTGCTTACACGAATCCTGTTCGACATCTATGCTAACGGCAAATCCATCACAAGATGCCAGCTCTTCTTGAGCCAGAAGAATCATTACAAACCTGGCCTTCGTTGCCGTGTGTCTGCACTTAACCCTGATACCAAATCGAATCTATATGAGAGTCTCCTGCCCTCCCCATCCTCACCCCTTTCTTCATCCTCGCCCCGCCCAAAAGATCATAGGCCTCTGGGCAGCTCATGGGCCCAACACTCCAGGAGACGAAGTTTTCTGCAGGTTGTGCTCGCAACGCGTGGCTCCATAATCATCCGGCATGAAGTTGACCTGAAAGACAAGAATTTCGATTCAAGAAGATGGTAAGCTCTGTTTCAGCTCTAGATGCTGATGACAAGGTGTTGGGCCTCGCGCCTCCCTCGGCCTGTCGTTGTCGTCCTTGCAGACTTCGCTGGCCTGCTCGTGCTGGTCGTCAAGTCCGCACAGAGAAAAATCGAGGGGTCCAAGCCACAAGCACAGTCCCACCAGCACCAAAGTTCCAGCGAGGAAATACAGAAGGGCAGAAGGATCGGAGCGCGATGCCAGGACAATGACAAAGGACACCAAGGAGCTGCCCAAGTAGACCAAGCTGCTAAGAAGTGACGAGGCAACTCCTGCAATATCCTCAATGTTGCAGGTGAACTGGCATACTGCTGAAATAAAGGGTGTGTAAAGTACGATCTCGGCCGCGACAACAGAGGTCATGAACCAGACCGGGTTCTTGCTGTCCAGCGCCGCCGTAAAAGCCAAGCACACTGCAGAAGCAAGCAGCGGAGCCATAGATGCACGAATCGAGGTGATGGGGCCCCAAGGAAGCCACTTGGGTATGGCAGCGCCCAGAGTTCCAGCTACTGCCATGAGCGTGATGCACCAGGCGGCATGCAGAACGGAGAGATTGAAGCCTGCACAGAGGACGAAGCCATTGCTTGCGGCCAGTGTGTCCCAGAAGCTCTTGCCCACAATGCATGCAAGAAGGATGAGACCACGCCGCCGGTCTACGAGAGCACGTTGGGCACAGGCAAAGTAACTCCTCCGGCTTCTACGAACCCCACGCTAAAGAGGTCTGTACACAAACGACCTCTGAGCTTGGACTCTTCGGCCGAGGGGTTTTGCGTGTGGGTTGAGATTGAGGTCCAGAGTGCGCGGGGTTGCTTCAAGACTGATATCGTGGACCTTCCGCCAAAAAGACTGTACAGGGCTGCTTTGTCTTTGGCATTTGCTCGGGAGTGTGCTTGGGCCGAGGATCGTAGCAAGTGCCGGCGGGGCCGTCTCCACTATGGTGAACAGGCTGACGAAAGCGAGCAGCGCGGCGACGGCGCTGAGAACGAAGAAGGACAGCCTTGAGATCAAGAGATACCAAGAAGGACCAAGAGAGGTTGGACCAACATCTAAAACCCTGAAACCGCAAGTTACATGGCCTGGGGCGGCTCTATAGACATGCCAAGCTTTGCTTCTCTCCAGCCTCTCTCTCGTCAACGGCCTAGGTCTAGGCCTGTGAAACTGAAGGTCAGCACAGTTCGATCACCGCACCAGGTGGCCGCCAGCCCACTGCCGCAGCCATGAACCCGCCCGCGGCGGGAGCTACCAGCGGACCTCAAGGGGAGCCAGAGCCATGGATCGAGAAGTTTAGGATGGTTTTTACCGGGAGCCCCACCCTTAAGCACTTAACATTTCAAGGTCAAAACAATTGAAAAACAGCTAAGTTTGTGGTTTGCACTGCACAAACCAAAGAACATGATAGTAATATTCAGACAAAGTATCAATTGGAGCATTGCATGTGTAGCTCTGTTTCACAGAACTCTTTACAAGCATTGTACAAACATGCAAATGCAAAGAAACGCAATGTATTTTGTACGTGTTTACTACGATTTTCTGAAGGTCAAGCATTTGAAGAATATACTGAAAGTAAACAACTACGTTATCCACCACGGAAAACTTCAGGTGGATTAGTAATTGGTAATAAATAAACACTTATATGAGTCAAAATATTGTCGCAGACAACTTAAGCAACTGTCAACTTTGTTCGGATCTAGACACGCAGGGTATTAACAAATCATTTGCCAGTCAGCTATTTAAAACACCCTGCTTCACGGTTTGCATCCTGCATCAACTGCCCAGTGGTTGAAGCCAATGTAGCAAACGCTATTGAGTGCTCGTATGAAGGGTTTGGGCGCTACTTGACGTTGCAAGCGCGCAACCCGGGCAGGCAGAGGGCTGCCGGCTATGCCCCAGCCCCCATACAAACATGCGTGGAACAGTGGCTTCGTCACAGTGTGACAGATGCCCAAGCAGAGCCACTCAACTACGACGCCAGCTCCTCCCTAGCCCATCTGTCTGCGACTTGCGTCCAGCACCCAGGGCTCAACACTCCTGCCGTGTGCACAATGGATCGGAGACGCGGCGATGCCCGTCCACGTCCCCTCTCCCCTACGTTGGGTCCTCCCAAACGCAGCGCCCATGAGGTCGCGCCAAGAAGACGCAGCCAGGGTTGTCAACTTTCCCACCTTCCCTGCGCAGGGTCCTCCCACGCGCAGCGGATCTACGCGTGCTCGCTCGCCTCCGCCCGGTGCCTGAGCACTGCCCGAGCTCTGTGGCCTCGGGCTATGACACTGAGCTCCTGCAGGAGTTGCGCATGCAGGAGCGATGCTTCTTGGTTGGTCCGGACCGCCACGGCTTTGGAAACGGCCAGCAGGACTGTAGAGGCATCCCGAGTCCAGGCCCCAGTAGCCTCTGCCACCAACGGTCTGAACCGCACACCTTGGGCTGAGCACAGCTTGGCCGTATCTAGGTGTGTTTCCTTGGTGTGGGTGTAGGAAGACGCGGCAGCCAACGCAACCTGTCCAGCTTGGGCCAGACTCTCCTGACGCTGTGGGGCCACTACGGCCAGGTCAAGTGCGACGGGAGAGCCCTGGAAGCTGGGCAAATATATGTCGGCTGGGCGCCTTGCAGCGACGCGGGCCTCCTCAGGGCGCTGGGGAAGCAGAAGTCCCGGCCGCTCTCGTTCAGGCTGCAGCCCTGCCCTGGCGGCCCAGTTGCACAAAGCATCACGGAGGGCATGGTGTCGCTGTGTTCGCTCACCACCGGCCGCGCAGGTGCTGGCATGCAAGGAGTGAGTGTCGAGCACGCCCTGGCACAGCGGACACCAGGTGTCTGAGGCAGCGTCGGGGGCTCCAAAACGTTGCCGCAGCTCCACGATAAAGGCCGCTGACTCCATGCGGGTTGGGCCACTCGGAACGGCTGCCAGGAAGGCGCGTGCTCCGGGCTCCGCCTCAGATCGCAGGACAGCACGGGCAGCGAGGGACGAGGTGGCCAAGTGCCTTTGCCAGCTGGCCTCATCAGCGGCAGTGCTGAGCATTTTCTGCCTGGAAGCCAGCACACCATCCGCGGCCAGGGGTTGGGCCAGAAAGTCGTTGAAGGCGGCGAGCGCGTGCACCACGTAGGGGTCACTGCTGAGAGGAGCAAGGCCGTAGGAGGCATCGAGCTCACAACAGGCTTTGTAGCTCCCTCCGACAGAAGCCAGGTAGGCGGCAGGCGCATCCCGAGCAGTAGACCGAAGCCCCAGGCCGGCATGGGCGAAGTCTCGCGACGCTTGCTCCAGCTGAGTCGCGTCCAAATGCAGGCCCGTGAAACCGGCGAAACATTCCCTAACTGAGGAGTCAAAATGGTGCAGGGCAGACAGCTGGCTCGCGGGCGGCGTGCATCGCATGGAGTGCACGAGGCGGGCGTGGCCCGCACACGACCCAAGCAGCCGCAAGCTCACCTGAGAGTCCTCGAGCCCGCTAATAGCTTCCAAAAGCGGGGCGGCTGCCTTTGCCCGAGCCAAGCAGTGTGAAGCAGTGAAGTCCTCGTCTCCGATGGCGGCGCCAAGAAGTTCAAAGTTTCGCTGGAACCGGCTGCTTCCGTCACTGGCGTAGAGGAGCGACTGAGGCAACACCCTGGTTAAAGCAGACTCGGACAGCAGGCCTGCCCCAACCACCTCGCACTTGGAGAGGTTGAGCTGTAGGCCAAGTTCTGTTGCCCGCCGCTGGACATGCTGCAGAGCACGAACAACCTCCGGCACATCACCAGCGAGGACGCCGTCATCCAGGTAGAAGAAGGCCAGGTCCAAGGGCATGGCACGTAGCTCAGTAGCGAGGGACTGCAGCACGGCGGAGAAGAGCAGGGGGCCTAGCGGGTCGCCCTGTTGCACCCCTCCGGCAGAATGCACGGTGGTGGCGGCTCCAAACTGCAGGGCCGTTGGTCGTCGATAAGTCCAGCCCACCCATCTCGCCAAGCCGGGGAAGTGCGTGACGGCCTGACTGACAACCTGCTGCCGGGAGACGGTGTTGAAGGCGTTGGTGAAGTCCAGCTTAAGGAGCAGTTTACCAGAGGCTGTAGCATGTCGCCCAAACCAAGCACGGGTGGCATGAACAGCAGCTTCAGCGCCAGCCGGCACTGCAACCCGGGCCAAAAGAAGACCTTCGCCTCATCCCGTGCCAAGTCAATGAGGCATTTGCCCGTGAGTCGCCGGAGCACCTCGCCCACGGCTATGGGGCGCACGCCACCACGCGGCTTCGGCAACGCCACTAAACCAGCGCCAGCCAAGACCGGGGCCACAGCTGCGCAAGCACGTCCCTGCGCCAAGAGGTTAACCATGGAAGTGAGATGCTCCAGCAAGTGCTCCGTAGCGCCTGGCGGGCCAGCCTCGCGCAGGTGCTGCACCCGGAGCCCGCACGGGCCAGCGGCGCAGAGTGCGGGCGACAAGCTCCGAGGGCACCTCGTAGGCCAGGGGCAGCCCATCAATGTCAACGGCAGGCATGGTTTGAACAGGGTGGAGGGCCCGCAGCGCAGCAACAGTGTCGTGGTTGTCAGGGCACAGTCCCGTGGCCAGGAGGGCGTTACAAGCTTTGCGATCAAACCCTTCCCGCGCCAAAGCTGTAGCAAGGCTTCGCTTCTGCTCATCATCCAAAGCACGGGGGGCATACCGCGGCGGCTGGCCCCTGTCATCCCACAACGTTCTGCGCTCTCCTTCCGCCCAGCGTTGGAGGCGGTCAACAGTGTAGGCCGCCGCCGTCCGCCGATGCTTGCGTCCAGCCCTAGGCGGTGCTCCCAGAACACACTGTGGCAGCATGAGAAGCTCAGTCCATGCCCGAAGGTCGTTGCAGTGAACAGCAGCCGCCACCGCCTTGGCCAGGACCCGGCCCCACAAATAGCGAGCCGCGGCAGGGACATGGCGAAGCGTTCGCGTGCGACCTAGCTTCTTAACAATGGGAGCTTATCATCCAGTTGTATATGATACTGCACATGGTTTACATGATGCAAGCATAGAATCATGTCTTCATCTTGCTTGGATAACATTGATGGCGCTATAATTGGCTACAGGGACTTCGACCCGGCCTAGCATCATCATTAGCGTGAGGAAGCTCTGCTTTTTGGCACGTTCCTGCGGGCGAGGGCTCCGGGTTTTCTTCGGTTCACTGGGGACAGGTTTGTGATAGAAATCTTGGACGGGCGACTGCGAGGGCCCCCCCATCGGTCCTTCAGGTCAGAGTAGCAGTCTGGGAGCGTTGCAAGAATGACAGGCAGCACACCAGCGGCAAGACCCTGGCAGACGCGACCTGCTGCGAAGGCCAGAAATGTGTCGGCACAGGCGCAGCACAGCGTACTGGCCGCCAGCAGCACCTTCAGAAGGGTCAAAGACGGCATCTGACGTCGAAGCTACATTTCTCTTAGGGGTCCCCACCAGCTTCCCTTCCCTTACCCGCCCTTCTCGCACCTGGCTCCCCAAAATCAGGGGCCGACGGCCAATTCGATCTGAGAGAGGGCCGAGAAACAGCATCCCGAAAGCACTGGTAAAGAGGTGTAGTTGAATTGTGGAACCCATCACCACAGAGTCGACGCCAAACTCGGCGGCCATGTCCGGCATGCTTGGCTGATACTGATCGGTGCAGAAGAAATCCAAGGCCATGGTGATGCCGAGCGCTGTAAGCATCTGCCAGGACATGCCTTCATGCTCTCTTGCTGATCGGTTGTTGGAGTTAGCACGGGACAGCCGCATGTAGAAAAGGCCGATCAACCCCAGGACAGTGGCAAGCAGCACTTTGGAGCAAAGGCAGGCCCAGGGCACAGGCTCAATACTTCGAGCGGGTTGACCCCATTCTGAGAGATGGGCAGCGTCGCAGGCCGACTGCCTGTCACTCATGAGCTCGCCTTTGTAGGCAGAGAGCTAACGTCTGCTCTCACGGTTCGATCTGCTAACACTAGCCGTTTAGCGAGAGCCCGTCGCGGCAAATGAGGAGCTGGGATGTCATGAGAAGCAGGTCATGGCCGATGACTTCGAATTGACGCTCAACCTTTTTTGCCATTATTCGTACCAAACTCGCAAGACGCACGTAGACCCTCGGCACCTGCCAACTCCGGCGGGTTCGGGGATTTGAATTACGTGCCCGAACGCCGACCTCTTGGAACCACCACACAGAATGCTTAAACAAGCTAGTCAAGCACATGATGAGAGGGCTCAAATTCCAGTCTCCACAGGCGAAGTATCAAATATCTCGGCAAGTCAGACTTGTGACTTGCTGTCCTTGCACAGTCGTTTGAGGCAAACCGGTTCAAGGCTCAAAGCTTTGCCGCAACCTTGATCCACACGGTTGTTTCTGGCTGGTATGACCGCGTCCGCAAGAGCCTGGCAATGCTGCCATTATGGCAAGCTACATCAGCACGCAAAGAGATGCATCCCATCTGCTTGGCAAAGGCTTCAGCGGCATCGAGAATCAAGCCGCTGATGCCAGCATTCCTGGCATGCCGCTCAACGTAGATGAAATGCACCCATACGTATGGCTGCTTCTCCTGCGCGTAGCTGCCATCCGGGCTCACGGCTTGGTCTTTCGTCTTGAACACGATGCCACTGCCCAGCATGCCGGTTGCGGTCCCTCCAGCATAGTAGATCTTGCCCAACAGAGAGCCCGAAAGAATTCGCGCCATGAGCTGCCGCACGGCTTCGACCTTCTCCTAACGGGCATGGGTGCACATCTACAGAAAAAAGGGGAAATTGGCATTCGGGCTGTGCCGTGGTTGTCCTGAGCCACTTCTGCCATGGCATAGACTTCTGTTTGAAGCTTGCAATAGCCAGCAAGAACCTGGTTTTCGAACTGCTTGTTGTGAACCTGGAGCTCGCACAATTCCAAACCGCCTGGATGGTGAAGAGGCGGACTTAGATGCATCGACATCGTGTAAACGTCCGTGAGTCCGTAGCGCGCGCAGTAAAGCTGGACTTCCGGGGATATATGCATCAGCCTGGAGACACTCAGGCAGACGCACTAGTCACAAAGAGCCACCTCCTCAGACCAACCCGCCTGTAGTCCAAAAAGAGCTCTTCTCCTGCAGCCACAGGCCGAATGGTCGCGAGGCGAGCCACACCCTCCTTCACGAAGACCTGCACAGGCGTGAGGCATGTACAGGTGTGGCACAGGTGTGTTACAGGTGTGGTGCTCCGGTATCGCACTTTCGGAAACGAAGCTTGGGACTGCTGTGTGTGGAGTACGTGATGGTAGTAGTCGTTAAGATCGAACTAGGGCGCTTTGTGTGCACGCAACTCTCTGTACAAAAAACTACCACTCCTGATATATCTAGATCTGGCCCACCTGCACGTTGGCTCGCTCGATATCATGATTGATGAAGGCGGCCGCTGAGCCCAAATACATGATCGGAGTGCCCTGGTCCGTGTGCTCTGCTCGAACTCCTGTCCTGTCCAGTGCAGGCTTTGGTCCAGTTTCTCTGCGATCTTCATGACTCTCCAAACCCTGACCCAAAGCATCCCTGCCAGTATCCAACTGCATGTGACAGGATGCTCGCTACGAGAACCCAAGGGTCAAGAAGTCGACCAGCCGCTGCCGGCCGCGGGCTCGATCACCTCGGCGCTACCGCAGAGCTCCATGTACATTCGGTTTCAGTGTAAGGTTTCGGACCTTCTTTGGTTCAAAAAAAAACGCTTAACAGCGAATGGAGTCGCCCGGCGACCAGCAAGTTATCAGAATCTCGAGTTCTGCCTCGCTGGCCACCTGGATGCCGCAAAGGCTCTCGAGCTCCTCCTGCAAGTAAGACTCAACCTGGGAGTAGCGTTCTGGTGTGGCTTGTTTCGTACTGCAACATCTACAGACTGCAGATGTCGGGACTATTCGGTGTTGCCATGTACAGTTGCGATCATGTGCCAATCGCGGGTAGGGAACCATTTTTTGGACTTTTCTTGGCTTGGGCGGGCTTCAGTTGCTTCGGCTGCTGCGCTCAGTCCCTAACGAAACCCACGAATCATCGAACAATCGCGGGTAGGGAACCGAGACGAGGGCTCCTCGGCGGATGACATGGTGAGCGGGAAGCGGGGTGCTCGCAAAGCGTCCAAGACCGCCGGAAGGAACCGTAGAATCCTTCAGCACGGTCGGCACCTCGATTCTCGAGCAACAATGAGATCCTCACTTGGAGGTTGGACAAAACGAGGCTACATTCACCTGCAATTCCGAGAGGCCAAGAACTGTGCCCCGAAGGAAGTTGTAAGATCCCAGGGCGCCACCTTCCTGCGAATGCCACCGTCAATGCCAATGCTGCTCGTGCCCATGTCCATGGCTGCAACTTGGAATCCGATCTGAACCCAAAAAACTGTGAGCCGGAGCGAACGGCGACATGCCATAGGCCATAGGCCATGCCGGTTTCTTCATACATCGAAGAAGAGCAAAAGCCACCGACCGTCAGAACTGGCAAAACAGCGTGCATCCAAGCAGACGAGCATGTCGAAACTAGTCATCCGGAAGACAAAACAAACAAACAAACAAACAACCAAGTAACCAGTTTCGCGGATGGAACGCTCTCTCGCTGTCTCTCTCCCCTCTCTTCTGCAGGGCTTAAGGGGCTGTTCAGGCCCCCGGCTTCGTGGGCCCCCCGTTTGTTATGAGGCTTTCGGCGGGCCGTGAAACATCATGGATTCCCCAGGTTTGCAGGAGTAGTGTACTATGAAGTACCTTTATTTCCTTCTGATTCCTGTCGCCCTAAGTTATAAGGGCATTCACAATATATAGGCCATTATGTGCCTTCACATTAAGAAATATAATATAAAAGAAAATTCGCGTGACATCCGAAGCCTTCGTTTTGCAATGGGATCTGCGACAAAGTCTGAGTCGTAAGAAGAAGCACCGATGGTCACTGAGCTCACTGCTCGAACACATCGGGCCCTCCACACCCCGACGGGAGTGAAAAAGGGGATGGGCGGGCGGGACAAAAACTGAGCCTTTGCCCAGCTACGGGGTTTCCCACCTCCCTCCCTGGAGCCGTAATGTTGCACGGGCAAAGGAAGATTCCACATCGTTCCAAAGACTGGAAAACGATTAAGGGAAAACTTCGGGCTCTTGAAAGTCAAACTTTCAAAAATTCGGAATCAGGAAAATAAAACTATATCACCTTCGGTGAGATTCGTCTTATTTCCTTCTGATTCCTGTCGCCCTAAGTTATAAGGGCATTCACAATATATAGGCCATTATGTGCCTTCACATTAAGAAATATAATATAAAAGAAAATTCGCGTGACATCCGAAGCCTTCGTTTTGCAATGGGATCTGCGACAAAGTCTGAGTCGTAAGAAGAAGCACCGATGGTCACTGAGCTCACTGCTCGAACACATCGGGCCCTCCACACCCCACGCACAGGCCCTAAGGTGTCAAGGCAGTGAGCCGCACACGAAGAGACGAATCAAGATTGCTGTAATCCTTCCGAGATGGACCATCAGCAGGATTACTTTGGGATGGCACCCACTCACACCAAATGTTGATATCGTTCTCTTCCTCGAAGCAGACAAGCTTCTGAAGTATGCAAGCTGCAATGCCTTCTGCGCGGCCACTTATCAAGCATGACAAAGCTGACTCGTTGTCCACAAACAGCACTAGGTCAATGTTCGACTTGCCTTTGAGCAAGTCCACGACACCTTGCACTGCTGCGAAGATCTCCAATTCATAAATCAAACCCTCCTTAGCATCAGAGCCGAAGGGGACAAGGTCACAAGGATCAATCCACTCAGCAAACCACTTGAGAGGCTTGGCAGCTGAGTCGTAAAGGATCCCACCAAGTCCTGAACCTTCGCTTCCAAAGGAGGCGTCAGTGAAGAGGGTCAGCTTTTCCCTTTTGCAAGCACTGACACGCCTTGGCTCACCATTCACGATGTGATCACGGAAGAACAGAAGCGCGTGCAGCAGCTCACCAGTTATTTTGACATTCTTCTTACAAGAGCAGGCTTTGGACAGGACAGAGAAGACCTGCCGAGCACGCCTGCCAAAGACCTGATTGTCAGCAAACAAGAGTCTGCCACGAAGCACTGTCAGCTCATGACTCGATGCAGAGCCCCTTGATACCAACAAGTCAAGAAGATTGCTCAAATCGCGTATCCTGTGCTCAGTATTCGAAACTACGACTAGACCAGCCCGAACGTCAGCAAACGAGATGGAAACCCCCAGCACTCGAGCCAGGCAGTTAAATCCCGAGTCCTTTTCGGACGACGTAGACCAACCAAGCAAGTCAAAGAAACCCCGTTGAATCAAATGCACATGCTCTGCCTCCGACTGCGCTGCCACCAAGAAAAAGTCGTCAAAGTAGCAGCTCCAGTGGAGCTGCAACAGGACAACCCCTATCCAAAACAAAGCAAGCGAGCATCTACAAAATCCGTTAACTGCAGCACGGGCCCCGAAGGGCAGCACACGTGTGCGGTATATGGAAGGCTGATTGCACTCGGGGTTATGCACACACAAGAAGCAATCGTTCAGCGATTCAAGCGAAACCGGAAGTTGCTTATAGGCTTTTCTAAGGTCCACTGTGCAAGCCACCAGCTCCTCAGGCTCAGCCTGCTCAGGCCTCGAGGTGATGCGCCGGCAAATCCCAGCAACAATGGTGTCCACACCATGAGGCGAAATGGTTTCCACGCTGGCATTAGTGAGATTCACTTGGCTCTCGGTATAGTCATCAATCGGCCTCGTTTTATCAAGAACCGAGCCATCAGCCTGTGTGCTTGTTTGCCGAATGCCAAACCTGCGAGTGAGCACAGCACCATCTGGCAAAGGAAAGTCGTGTGGCCCATCAAGCCATCCCCTTTCTTTCTCATCACAGGTGAGCGCGAAAACCTCTTCGGCAACTTGTTTGTCCTTGGAAGATCGGCAGGCTCCCAAGATTGCCTTATTGATCGATGATGCATTATCACGGACTTCCTTTGGCGTCAAAGTTGCAAAAGTGTTTTTCCTAGGCATGGCACCAGAAGCGGGCAATGGACCCATAATGTCAAAGCCTCTCTTCACCTGACTAGGCAGCCCACTGTCAACATGCCCACTTTCATCAAGCATTTCTTTGAACAGCCTAAGGTCCTTGCCTTTTAAGACCTCCGCACAGTGACCCACAGGAGGATCTGGATCAACTTGCTCTGACAACTCTTTTGCCCTAGCCACCCAGCGCCGAAGTGAAGCAGTCCTTTCCCGACCAAGACTCTCGTAACTTTCTGAAGCACACTTGCTGACACACTTCGCAAGTACATCAGGGATGCCACTGTAAAGGTGCTTGGGATCTTCACAAGACTTTGGCACGGAGAAAGTCATTTCCCGAATCGAAGGAAGGTCAGCCCCACCCCCGAAGAGCACTGACCGAAGGCACTTGCTTCCAGCAGGCAGGCCATGCATGGGCGGCAGGACGACAAGCTCTGAAGACAATGGCGTAAATGACTTTAAGACACCAGTGGGTGGCATGACAGCACCGGGTCCTCGAAGCACAACAGTGCCAGCAACAGGCGGCACAATCGGCGGGATGCGTTTTCCTTTCGGCTGCTTGGCAGCAGCAACCTGAGCAGCACGGTGCATGGACACATCAGTCACAGTGGAGGGCACACACCCAAAGGCCTTGAGGCGCTCAAGCAATGCTCTAGCAAATCCATCGCATAGGTCAGGTGGATACACGTGCAAGGCACCCGACTGCCAGGGAGCATGAGAGTGCGAATCATCACAAGCAATTCCTAACCTACGAAGTTCAGGGTAGTTGTGGAAGAAAGTTGAGTGCTTAGCACACGGATCCCCGAACATGCACTGGTGCAATGAGGTCTTGAGAAAGCCTAAGGCGAGGCAGGTTTTGCCAAGGGGGCCCTGCCACGCGGAGCTTGCAGCCGGGTTTTCAACTGACACGAGAATGCCACGGCCGTGGCACCACTTCAGGATCCGGGCCGACAGCTCACAAAGTGGTGCATCACTCGCAGGCGGCGAGATGTGCACACCACAAACGTTGCCACGATTGAGAGCATCCCACAGGAGCTCATGCTGTTCTTCATTTTTAAGGTCAAGCGGGAGAACAGGACACCGAGTGGCACCAGTGACACGGGAGGCGATGCCAAGGCACTGTCCAACTCCTTTACGTTTAACTGCAGCGGCCAGGTGACCCGCACCACAGAAGATCTGAAGGAACAGCATCGACTGAAGGCTATGACCCTGAAGTCTATGTTCTGCACCAGCAGGTAGGCACTTGCTGCTGATTGGCGGCGCCACAACAGGTGGAGTATCAGTTGAGCAGACAGCATCCAGATTGGGAGCAAAACCCTGCTCCCGTAAAGTTGACAGATCATCTGGGCTCAACATGCTGGCATTGCGCACCGAAAAGGCAACAAGGACGACACGATCACCCTGCCAAGCAGCAGTGGC